CGCCTTTCCGTCACCACACAATAATATCCACTTCTTCTCTTTGTTGTTGTACGACAGTCCAAGAAGTACTGGATTCTTATCATCATCACTCATCTTCACACCCATCAAAGAAATAGGACCCTCCTTCGTCGGCTCACCGTCGATGGACACCGTCGCCACAAGAGTGAAGTTGTAGTTCGCAAAGTGGTACAGCTGATTCTCCCCCTGCGCGCCAACAGGCCACTCCGCCCACGCTCCCCGGAACTTCACGCCATCAGAAGACTCTGTAGTCTCTGCTACCGCTGCTGGCACTCCTCCTTTCGTTCCCTTCTTTACTGTGGCGTTCACTCCAAGGTACTCGTCCCTCCATGTGTCATCAGAGAAGTTGCCGGACAAAAAGCCAACCAGCCCATCCGTGATCTTACTTTTTTTGCAGGCGCTATCAGGTGAGGTAGCCTGCACAGCGCTCTCAGAAGCGCACAGCTGGGAGACATGTTTGTCCACTTCCTTCCAGCTCGCCAGCACCTCCTTCACCCGCTCCAGCTGCGCAGTCAGACGCACAGACCAAAGGCTGTTTGATGATTCTCCATCGCCCTTCTTCTTCTCGTACAGTGCAATCAACTCCTCCCTCTTATTACTATTCGTTTCACTTCCAGCACTTTTGTACAACAGGGAGCTGGCGGCAACATCTTCGTCCCCTTCCCGGATACCGGCCCAATATCAACAATGTGCGTATTGTCCGTCAGCCAAAGATGGAGTTCGCCCCTTCGATTATCTTTCTTGGCATACACCGGCAGAGTAACGAGCATCACTTTCTTATTATCATTGCCAAAGGTCGCTGTGATGAACCCGCTTCCAACGGCCTTCTCACTTCCGACCTTTTTGTTGCCCCACACGCGCGAGAGTGTCCCGAGTGCCTCCGTCCACGTATTCCCCTTGTCACCGGACTCGTACACCCTGCGGCGGCCATCACCACACGCAGTCATCATCATGAGCTTGTCCTTCTCCCACTCCACGACGGAGGGATCACCGCAGCCATTGGCAGACATCCCCTTCGACAGCTTACAAGTCACAATTTTCTTCGAAGTATCCAAAGTGTACATGAGCAGTGAGAAAGTCTTTCCACCCGCAGCTTCCTTCTGCACAGGTTTCTCCTGCGTGCCTTCCACTGGGAACACAAGCGTACCGTCCTTCATCTTAACACCCGATCCACCGCCGCCAATCAAGTGCATCGAGGAATCGTGTTCGCCCTCAGATAAAGTGCCGACCGGTAGCTGGTTCACATCCCATTGGATTTTTTTTTCACTGTCATCTCCTTCGGCACTGACTGTCCCTTTCACCAGCAAAAGTCCCCATTGAGCTGCAGTACTCTCCCGAGCATCAGCACCAGCATTCCCACTGTATTTTCCAACAAGCATGTAAATATCATTTCCATTCACAACTGTTGTTGGTCGGCTCACATCTACTTTCTTGCTTGGGGAGCCGCCTTCCTCCAGAACTTGTATCACTCTGGCATCCTTCAGCACTTCCTCCGGTTTGTTATCGTCTTTTATCGTGAGAAGTTGGGATGCAACGCCAGTAAAGGTATCTTCTCCATCCTTCTTGCACTGCACCTCGGCAACGGCAAATACATCACTTCCAACTTTTAAAAGGCTGGGAACGCCCAGCAATTCCACGGTTACACCCTCATCACCAACACCAGTGATGCCCTTCCATTCAAACTGGGGATCAGATGGCTTCCCCGCAGCTTCCGCAGCCCCACCAGTGTCGCAGCACATCAACACGACGAGGAAGAGCGGCACCGCGGAAGTAAACACACGCTGCGACATGTTGGGGCTCTGCCGCTCACTCTCTCTTCCTTCCGTCCTCCTTCCGCTGGATCCGGTCACGCGGCGACGGTTGTGTGTGCGGGGTGCCTTCACGGCAGCAACACGTGAGTGCATATAAATATATATGTGTGTGTGGGCGGTGTGTGTGCCGTTGTTGGTCCTTTCAGTGCCTTCGAATTTCACAGTGGCGATTAGCGTTTAGTCGTAACTTCCTTCCTAGCGTGTGTGTGCGTGAGGCGGAGAGAAAAGAGAAAACAAGCCAAGCAAGGAGGTGAGACAGCGAGCACCGTCACCCGTCCACTGTGAGTGGCATCACCATCATCCCCGCCGCAGTAACTCCCAACAACAACAACTCACGCACACAGACACAAGGAACAGCAGAAGGAAGATGACTGCACCGGGAACACACAGCGACTGTCACCACCAGCAGAAGCCACGGCGGGCGCTTCTGCCACGCGGCAGCATACACCAGGCGACGCTCACACACATAAAAGAACCAGCGGGTGGCAAAAGGGCACAGCCTCCCCCCGCAGCACCCACGCGCTACCGCCGCCAGCCATTTCACCGTTGTCTCCTCCATCACACCCGCTCCGCCGCCGGCGCACATCACCTCGCACAGCCGGGGAATCCCTCGCCATCAAATACACAGCGGGAGAGGCACCTCCAGCCGCTGGGCGGGAATCGCTCCGCACCTATCCGAGGCACCGTCAATGAAAAAGCACATTAGTCAACTGTTGCACGCCGCCAACATCCCACGCCCGCATCACGAGAAGGGGAATAAATCGCGTGCACACGCCATCCCTCATCCCAAGGGCCGCAGCAGCCAGAATCGTGTTCGTGCGTGCGTTCATTCTCAGCGTTGACACCGCTCCACAGCATGTTCAGCATGGCGTGTGTGTGTGTGTGTGTGTTTCAGCGCCTATAATTGCAGAGCAGCTGTGCGCCACAAGAGAGTCAGAAGAAAGCAACGGCAGAGAGAAGCGGATGGCACACACACAAATTACTCATACCATCACACACACACACGCAGCCCGCGGAATGGATCCACTCAACCACAACACAAGTAAAACAAAACAAAAAGCCGAAGCGTGGGATGACCAGCGCACACACTCTCATTGCTCCCGTAAAGCAAAACACACACACAGGGAGAGAGAGAGAGAGAGGTCGCCCACTCAATGCAATGGAAACAAAAAAGAAACAGTTACGGTGCTCCGCCCATGCAGCCAGGCAGGACGGCAGCGGTGCGTGTCGTGCAAAAGAGAGCACCAACGGGCCTGCATGGGTGTGCATGCATATATACAATGGGCACATTATGTGTGTGCTTCGTGGGATGAGGTGAGGGCGAGAGTCCATGCAGGGGATACACACAGAGAGTGAGAAGGAAGAGTGTGTGTGCGGGCGGTGCATGGCGCTCTCTCCCTCACTCTCACGCGGCCACCACCGCAACAGCAGCCGCACACGCAACAACAACAAGAAGCAAAAAAGGGGAGGTGGTGTGGGGGACCGCGGTGCTGCCGTCACTGTCGCCATGAGAAGCTGTGTCACGTGTTTTGTTGTTTGTGGTTGGCGCTGTTGAGGATCCTGCACTCTGAGATACCGTATCGTATTTTTTGGCTGATGCAGCTTCACCATCGGAATTCATGCCGGGTGGTGTGGCGCCTTCAATGGATTGTCGGTTCGGATGATTGCTGGTTGAAGTGCCTTCTGTGCCAGTGTCAGACCGCACGGCTGTAGTTATCGTGGTGCTGTTGTCGCTGTCGCCAGAAACGGTTGTGCCAAGTGTGTTACGGGCGGTGGCTGCTGGTATTGTTTGCGATTGGCTGCCAGCAACAGTTTCATGCTGAGCTCCTTCTTGCAGTAGTGCTTTACCGGATCGTTCGTTATTGCTGGAAATGTCCTTCGCAGCGCGCCCTTTTCCTAGAGTGGAAGTCGGACCATTTCCAGTTGTAGAGGTGGATGAAGAATGTGTTTGTTGTTGACTGACAGCTGGTATATCTTGTGTGATACCTGCGCCGGTTGCGGCTTTATCCCCCGGTGAGTCCTCTTCTGTGTCCCCCTTAGGTGGTGTTTCTCGCCCCACCACTGGCGTCAATGCCGCTGTTGATGCTGCTTGTTCCACTGTGCCTTCCTGCTCCCTCGACCCTCGGTCTGCTGCTGGTGAATGGCTGTCGCTCGTGGAAGATCCGCCCAATTGTCCTTCATTCACGGTGGTTTTCACTTCACCCTCCGCAGCTGCAGCATCATCACCACAAACACCACCACCATTTTCTAATTCTGTTTTTGCGTTGGGCGACTGTTCTGGCGCATTGAGATCGCTTTTCCCTCCTGTTCCCGCATCAGTGTGATGCGGAACATGAGGCACTAATTCATGCTGATCCTGTACGACTTCACGCCCCTCTTGTGCAAGAGTTAAGGCATCCTTAGATTCATTTAAACCCACACCCACACCAACACCGGGAAGTGAAGGTTTGCCACCCGTAGGAGCAGAACCCGGCAAGTGACTTCCACTGCTCAGAGAACTTCCATCAGTGACAACTCCATTATCACCATGACCCCCAACTGGGGAAGAAGGTTGACCAACACTCCCAACAACAGCTTGGCCGGAATCCTCTCAATCATCCCCGGCATCGGCCGACACCGAAGAACACCCGCACCACAGCACGCAGAGGACACACACCAGCAGCACACGGCCAGTCATCGTCATCGCCATCACTCCTGTCACTTACGTGTGGCCTTCGGCACAAACTAACTCCCCGTCAACAGAGAGGGAAGCAAAAAGATAGACACAGCCGCTACACCACGCACAGCCACCGCACAGCAACAAATGGCAGCACCCCAGCAGCAGCAGCGCACACACCACGAGACACATGGAATCAGTACGATTGCTGAGCTCGCACACCGCCCCGCAAACCAGAAGTTTAAAAAGCAATAAAAAACAATAATTAAAAAACAGAAATTAAAAAAGAGAAAAGAAAAACAAACCCAGTGCTTCAGTGCGCATGCTTATGAGTGTGTCCGCGATGCGTTCAACGTGGCGGATGCGGGGCACAACGCGGAGCACACAGCACGGCAGCAGAAGCAAGTGAAGCAAAACACAATCATTATTTCCTCTTATTTTATTACAGTGGACCACAACACACGCGCACAAACCCCGCGGTTGGGTGCTGGCACGCACAGCCCGCACACACCTCTTCAGCCCAGAGCGGCGTACGCCAGCGCGGATGCGGCGAGCAGCAGCGGGGCACACACCCACGCAGAGCTGCTGAGGCTGCCGTCGATTTCGCGAAGACGTGACGGTGCGCGGGTGGTCGACACAGCTGGCGCCTCTGTAGTCGTAGTGCTTGGTGCATGTGTTGTAGTGGTCGAGCTCGTGGTTGGTGCCTTTGTTGTGGTAGTGGTCGTCTCGGCAGGATCGTCGACATTCTTATTTGCTTGTTCTGCGGACGAACTCGCTCGGCTTTCGGAACCTGTCGTGCTTTCAGTACCCTTTTTCTCTGTCGTATTCGAAACTTCATTTGATTGCGGATCTGGATTGGTCGAAATTGGTCCCCCGCCTTCAAACTTTCCCTGGCCGTCACCGGACCCAAGACCTGACAAATCTGACGGCATGGGTGACTGCAGGCCCTCTGATACAGTGGACGATAGGCTGGTGGGCTTTGTAGTAGCTTCAGGCTTCTCTTTAGTGTCAACGATTGGTGCCTGTGCTGTAGTCGTCGTGGTCGTCATGGGCGGAGATTCAACCGGTTCAGCGTTTGCCGCGCACACAGAAGGGCAGCAGCACAGGGCAAGCACCAACAGGGCGCACAGCAGACGGCACGTCGTCATCGTGAGTGTGGTCGTTCAGTGGTGTGGAGCTGATCTGCACAGTGAGGGACATGGAGAGCAACAGGGGAGACGAGAGGTGCGGCAGACACACACAGAGGACACACCACATGAGGAGAGGGCAGCAGCCAGGCATGCAGCGTACGCCGCACACCACACACGACACACACTCCATTCCACGGCAGCAGGCACACACACACACACACAGCCCTGACGCAACACCAACACACAGATGGAAGAGGGAGAAGCAAACAGGAGCGGCACACAGGGCTCCACCGCATGTACATGCGGCGAGAGCGGTCCGTCGTGTCGGCACCCCTCACGGAGGGTGCGCACACACACAAGAAGGTGCAGCGCACACAGCAACACAAAAGCAAAGTAACAATTAAAAGGGAGAGAACCCCGCACACCACGTGGATTGTTGATCCACGGGAAGTGCAGCCAATATTCAACACAAGCAGTTCATTTGCAGTAGGCCTTCGTCCACATTCATCGCACTCCATTTCATGCAGGTCCGGCCACCACCGCAACAGGAGCTGCTGAACACGCAACAAGAAACAATAAAGGAAGGTGGTGTGGGAGACTACGGTGCTGCCGTCACTGTCGCCATGCGAAGCTGTGTTTATATTGTTAGTGGCGGTGGCGGTGTCCCTCTTGAACCCTTCACTGTGGGCTGCGGGGGTAACTGTGCCGGCTGATGTGCCTTCGGTTTTGTTGTTGCATTCTTCTTCTCCACTTCTTCTGTGGAGGGTTCGTCGTCCTCTCCGTTCAGATGGCTCGCATTATGATTGGTCGTGGTGGTGCTGGCGGCGGCGTTAAACTCTGCAGCTGTAATAAATGCAGTGCTGTTGTCAGCCTCGGCAGCAGGCGCTTTGTCTTCACGCCGGTACGTTTCTGTTTTCTCTGCAGCGTCAGAAAGTGGAGGCTGTTTGGGAATCTCCTGCACGGTGCATTCCTCTCTCCAATCTAATGCAGCAAAGCCGCCATTTGAAAAGGACGATGACTGCGATGGCCTCTCGTAAACGGGAGATGGTGCATGCTGCACGGTGTCTTGGTGTGCTGCAACTTCTTTCCTTTCTGCCTCATCTACACCAGCTGCTTCTACTGCAACTTCTCCTCCCGATTCTTCTTGTGGTGCATCACCCGGTACTTGTGCGGAAGTTGTGTTTGAGCCCACATCGTGTTTTGGCGCTACCCTCGCCATTCTCTGGCCATGGAACTTCATGTCGGCTGTCAGACCCTTCTGCCCCTTGCGGCGGTTCCTGCCCCCGCCGTTTGTCTTATTTGTTCGCCCGGTACTGCGGCTGGTTTTGTTGGTTGTGATCCTTTTCGCCCCCCAATGGCAGGCTGTGTTGGGGGCTGGGCTCCTCCCTCTGTCCCACCGCCCTCCGATGACTCAGCGACTTTCAACTTTTCATCCTGAGCGGATTCGTTTTCCCGACTGCCGGTGGCGCGACTGCCATCCGAAGAGGGCAATGCTCTATCCCTTTGGGGCGCGAGTTCCAGGCGCCCCACCGTGGCAGGAGCCATCAGCATCTGAGCCTTGCCTTTTGAACCATTCACAGTTGACTCCTCCCGCTGTCCAACACCACTCAATGCGTCGTGTGACTCCGACACATTCGTTTTCATTTCGGGCGGCAAATAACGCCATCCCGCTGATCCTCCACATACTGCCGGTGCCGCTGGTGGCGCTCCGCCTTGTCTTTTCCTCGTTCTAACGGCAGGCGATCTACGCGGCTGGTGACGCATCTCGTTCAGTGTTCATTGGATTGCAGCATACCCCCTTATCCTCAGCGGTGTCAGCAGCAACAGCAATCCCTTAGCGCCTCCAACGACGACGGCCATCCAATTACGCACGCATTCCTCCACGGCGGACGCATTTGCCCTTCCTCCTGTCCTTCTGCGGCCATCCATCGCGCACTCCCTCCGCAGCTGAGCACGCCACCGCGAGAGCTAATACTCACCCTTACCGCTATCGCCACCACAGCACGCAGAGGACACACCAGCAGCACACGGCCAGTCATCCTCATCGCCATCACTCCTGTCACTTACGTGTAGCCTTCAGCAAAAGTAACTCCCCGTCAACAGAGAGAAAGCAAAAAGATAGACACGGCCGCTACACCACGCACAGCAACAAATGGCAGCACCCCAGCAGCAGCAGCGCACACACCACGAGACACATGGAATCAGTAAGATTGCAGAGCTCGCACACCGCCCCGCAAACCAGAAGTTTAAAAAGCAATAAAAAACAATAATTAAAAAACAGAAATTAAAAAAGAAAAGAAAAACAAACCCAGGGCTTCAGTGCGCATGCTTATGAGTGTGTCCGCGATGCGTTCAACGTGGCGGATGCGGGGCACAACGCGGAGCACACAGCACGGCAGCAGAAGCAAGTGAAGCAAAACACAATCATTATTTCCTCTTATTTTATTACAGTGGACCACAACACACGCGCACAAACCCCGCGGTTGGGTGCTGGCACGCACAGCCCGCACACAACTCTTCAGCCCAGAGTGGTGTACGCCAGCGTGGATGCGGCGAGCAGCAGCGGGGCACACACCCACGCAGAGCTGCTGAGGCTGCCGTCGATTTCGCGAAGACGTGACGGTGCGCGGGTGGTCGACACAGCTGGCGCCTCTGTAGTTGTAGTACTTGGTGCATGTGTTGTAGTGGTCGAGGTCGTGGTTGGTGCCTTTGTTGTGGTGGTCGTTGTCGTAGTCGGTGGTTTTGTTTTCGTCGTGGTTCTTGCGGGAACATCTTTGGCGTTATTATCTGTTTGGTCAGCGGAGGAACTTGTGCCACTTCCTGGTCCTGTAGTGCCATTATTAACTTCTGTCTGTATCGTATTGGGCGCCTTATTTGACTGCGGTTCCGTAACGGTGGAACCTCCCTCTACTGCACTTTTTCCCGATTCCGCAGAGGACCCCAAACCTGGAAACTCTGAATTACCTTTCCCCAGTTTATCCTCTGATGCAGGGGCCGCTGGACCGGTGATACCCACATTAGGTGCAGCAGCCATAGATTCAGGTGAAACAGACGACAAATTGGGGTCTTTTATATCAGCTTGACCTTCAGTGGCCTCCTGAGTGTCTCCCGCGCACACGGACGGGCAGCAGCACAGGGCAAGCACCAACAGGGCGCACAGCAGACGGCACGTCGTCATCGTCGTGAGTGTGGTCGTTCAGTGGTGTGGAGCTGATCTGCACAGTGAGGGACATGGAGAGCAACAGGGGAGACGAGAGGTGCGGCAGACACACACAGAGGACACACCACATGAGGAGAGGGCAGCAGCCAGGCATGCACCGTACGCCGCACACCACGCACGACACACACTCCAATCCACGGCAGCAGGCACACACACACACACACACAGCCCTGCCGCAACACCAACACACAGATGGAGGAGGGAGAAGAAAACAGGAGCGGCACACAAGGCTCCACCGCATGTACATGCGGCGAGAGCGGTCCGTCGTGTCGGCACCCCTCACGGAGGGTACGCACACACAAGAAGGTGCAGCGCACACAGCAACACAAAAGCAAAGTAACAGTACAAAAAGGAGATCCCCGCACACCACGTGGATTGTTGGTCCACGGGATCTGCAGCCAATATTCACCACAAAGCAGCTTATTATCTTGTTTTGGTTGTATGCTGCTACAACAACGAGTGAGTAGCGCAAGGGCCGTCCGTACAAAAGTGGCAAGTATTCCGTCTCAAACGGACCGTCGTGCAGGCTGGGGCAATCCCACACAGTCGCAGTCCATATTCCCAACGACGAGGGCATTCCCGCAGTGGATGAGGCAGAGTCTCCCGTGGTCCGTCGGGGGATCAGCAGCCCGTGGCGTCTGTGATGAGGCGGTGGCGGAAGAGCCTGGTCCATCTCGAGTACCCGCGTTTTTGCTTCCTGCGTGTCTTGTCTGTTGATGCGCTTGGCATTTTCGATAGTGGCCTGCGCGCGAGGCACCTGTTAAGAAGACGGTGGTGCCATTTTGGCATCCGCATGGGAGGCCCTCGCAAACTATTATAACGCCAGGCTGAGCACGTCGGGCATGTGCCCTCATACTGTGGACGGACAAGTGCACTCTGCTGCAGGTTGGGCAGGAGGACGTCAATCCGCCGCTCGCTGGCAGGCAAGAAGTTGCGGTGCTCATGTCGGGAAAAAGGTTCCGGCGGAGGCAGAGGCGGGCCGGTCACCGCAGTCAGGGAGGGACGGCACCACCGACACAGAGGGTTCCTTGTGATCCGCAGGGTGCGTGCAGGCCTGTCGAAGAGTGGGCAGGAGTCGCATCGCGCCTGTGCGCAGTGCCGCCACTCGGGGACCGATGTCCGGGTCAACACCAGGAATAGAGTCCTCGCCACACTGACAGGCGCCTGTCACGCGGTGTGTGCGCCTTCCTTTTCCTCCTGGACATCCTTCCAGTTCCGTCGCTTCACTGCAGTGAGGAATTCCACATGCCAGGCATTGACGCAGTCCTGCGGGAGGGATCGTGCCATGACGGCATCAGCGTCCGCTGTCACGTTGCGTGGGATTCCGCAGTGTCATGGGGAAAATAAGGAACCAATAGTGCGACCTCGATCCACCAGTGAAAGCGGCACGGTACAAATCTCCTCGCTGACGTCGTCGTGCACCGCCAGCGGGCCAAGGCGGAGTGACTCCATCGCCGAGAGGGAGTCTGTGGCGACAGGAACTCGTGTGGGCGATTGGGATGCTGCTGCCAGGCGGGGAACTGAAAACTGTCCGAGGCCATGCTCAGTGGCAGGACACTCCGCTCGGCAGGTGCATGCAAGGCTGCCAGCAGCTGTGCGGTGAGGCCCCACAGGCAGCCCGGCTGTCCGGGGAGTCAAGTGGCATTGCAGCGGATCCAGATGCATGCAAACTGAGAGACAACGTGCCGTCCATCCAGCGACCTGCGTCATACAGTCCCAGAGAGGTGCAGGCCGCTTCAAGGGCCGATCGTCTCACGCCGTCCAGGACGTCCTTGACGTGCCGTGGCCGGAAGACGCCCACCCCGCTGCAGCTCACAGTGTCCCGGGCGAAAACTCGGTGATCAACAAGAGGGGCGCGGATGCGGTCCGGGGAGATCCCCATGTGGCTGCGGACGCGTCGCAGTTCCTTGAGGACGGCATCTCCCGGCAGCAGAATGGTCGTCGCTGCCTTCCCAGGTATTGACGAAGGTGTGGTTTCCGAGCATACTGCGCCACGCACGTCCTCAATATAACGGAGAAGTGAGAGGCGTTTGTGCCGTGTGGGTGCGCGGAACCCAACGATCCTCCGTAGCGGTGCTGGACTGGCGGCCAGGTGGACAGAGCTATCCTTCGATGATACGCGTGGGACGAGCGATGATGTGCAGCTGTCGCCGTGCCGCACTTCCAGGCTGTGGAGGCGAGTAGGGGCCGACACGGTGCGAGTGCCTCACCGCCGTGGTGCAACGCACCGTGAACGCACCCAACGAGAAAGGATCGCATGGTGTGCTGGGACGCACCAGCTCCTGCGCCCAGCCGCAGCTGACGGCGGCGTGGCACGGTCTGCCCTGCAGCGGCGGTGACGTGCAAAACAAAATTGAGTTGTCGATCAGTCGCGTTGCCGAGCAGGCGCACACTGTGGGATTGACGCGTGGCTTCCCACCGCCCAGACGATGGTCGGCCGTGTCCTCGTCAGACTGTCGGTGTGACGAGATGCAGAACAGAGCGGCACCGCTCCTGTCGGCGCTGATACTCAGACTGTGCCCAGCAGCCCATGTGGCCACAACGGACACGGCAGCTGGCACTGCCGCACCACAGGCACGGAGGTCCGCACACAACGCAACCAGCGTGCGGTCGTCAGCGTGCATGAACGCCGAAGCAAAGTGAATGCTGTCCAGGCGGCGCAGCAGTCCATCCACGTGGCGGTGGAGGAGCTGAGGCCGCACGACGCTGCATTGGGCTGCCACAGCTGAGGGAAGCCGCTGTCGGGAATATTGCTCGCGAGCACTCACCTCAACGCAGCTGCCTCGCAGGTGATTGTGCTACCAGCGTTGGGCGCGACGGCCCACGCGCGGGAGCCCGCAGAGCACAGCCAACACTCGCCCATCGCCAACGGTGTCGAACGCAGTCGAGATGCCGATCGGGACGGCGAGAGAGCGGCGACGGTGCAGCGCGGAACGACGCCCCTGCGACGCTCGCACTCCACAGCGATGCACCCGCTCAGCCCTCGTGCCGCTTCGTCACTCACAGTCGTCACCACGTCCGAGGCCGTGCGTCGTGGCGTGGATCCAGGCTGACGTCGGTGGTGTGCCAGCAGTGCTGACAGGCGGCGGTGGATCAGTCCTTCGCTCACACCTAGCAGGACAAAGAGCAGCGTGAGTGGCCGACAAATTTCCCTGTGCGGCGTGTGTCCTTCCCGTGTCTGCGGATGGGAGTGGTGTCCCCATTTCCCAAGGACTTCGCAGAATGCCGTCGACGAGGGAGGTGTTGATCATCTTTCTTTGCGAGCAGCGGGCAGCGGGTACAAGATGGCGCAGAAACGCACTCAATACGCCGCCGGGGCCAGGGGCCATGCCAGGCAAACAGTCGCGGATGGCCGAGTCAGGCGCACACGGCGCGAAGGGCCAATCCATATTCCAATCACCAGGGGGCACGCGAGCACAAAATGTGCAGGCAGCTGTGGGGATCGCAGCACGTGAGACGCGGACAGTGTGACGGACGAGCGGGTTGCCTGTTGCCGAATTCCATCGGCGCTCACCAGCGCTACACATACTGTTTGCATGCCGTACGCGACACAAAACGGCAAAAGCTACTGCTAGGCGGAGACATTGAGCAGAACCCAGGCCCCATAGCAGCACTCAAGATGAACGGCTCTTCTCTCACGCCGAACAAAATTGCAACTTTAAGGGCAAAATGAGCAGACGTTGATAACCATCCAGGAGATCCGGAAGCCGTCGAAGCAAATCGCCAGCATGCACACTGGGGATTACGTGCTCCATGCACAAGCGCGTATCGGCAAGAAAGGCGGTGCTGGTGCGGAAAACTCTCCGCTCCAGGCATACACCCCTCACCATCACTCAACACGATTCCGGCCTCGGCATGGTGGTGCTCCAATTCGCCCTGGAGCAGAACCGTGGCCTCAGCGTAGCGGGTGCCTACATGCCAGCGCCACCGCAAATATCGCAATCCTTTAGGCGGTTACTAACTGCCTTCCGGCCTCGGCACCGCTCCTTTTTTGCGAAGATTCCAACGCGCATCGCCCACAGTGGGAGTCCTTCCTGGAGACGCCTCCAAGCGACGTCGCCGTAGAATTTTTACAACGGTGCGCGGATGCGGGATTCAACTCGGTTGACACCCCTGGCGAGACCACGCATGCCCGTGGCAGACGAGAGGAATCCTGCACCAATCAAACAGGGTCAAGGCACCTTGCCGTGTCGGATTGGAGAGCCAATGTGTCGCCACTCAGTGACCACCACATGCTCACCTTCACGTTGCACCAGGCAAGCGTCGACAGCATACCCTCGGCGCCCCCTTCGGTACGCCGAGTTTTATACAGCTGGGGAAGTGCCAGTGGGAGTCCTTCGCCAAAGATCTCGACGAACAAATTCCAGCATACGAATATAAGAAGCAGTCAACCAACGTAAACGCTTTTACGCGAGTGCCTGCAGTTTCACTTCAACAGCATTGACTGGGCGGCATGCACAAGGACGGTCCCAAGCTCTGGGATGGCACCCTTGCGGAAGCGGAGCGGATTGCTGCCGACTGCAAGGCCCGCTGCCTGCGGCTGCCAACGCCGACCGTGAGGCGGAGATCCAACGGACAAGGAGTCAAATTTTCCTCCTACTCCGAGAGCGCTTGCGCAACACGCATCCACGGCGCATCAGCACGCTGAATACAGGCAAACCGCTCTCCTGAAAATACATTGCGGGAAAAAAAGGGAACCATCTCCACCATCCCCCACACCAGCGTAATGGGCGATGGCCACAATAATTCCAGGACAGCACGAAGAGCAGCGGATGCTCTCAATCATGGATTCCTCCCATATCACCCCCTCGCAGAGCGGTTGGGTTTTCCAAAGATCAACGCGGACAGAACAAGTCCTTGAACATTTTTTCTCTCTCTCCCATCTTGGGCCGCTGAACAACAACGAGTCGGCCGCCTCATCTGCGACAGGCTCTCTCCCCCACCCCTCTTGATGCCCC